GCAGAATCATGCGCCTGATCTATCCTTTGCATACAAAGAGTAAATTTATCGATGCGGGAATGCGTTATTTCTTGCGATGTGTGAGATCCCAACTCTATTCTAACTTTGGTCAGAAGATCTTCCCGGGATTACGGAAGAAAGAAGTTTATTTCAAAAAGGATCGCACGAACAAACAAATCGATATATACGTACAATGTTCCTATCGATTACGTAATGCAGCAACCCATTAATTGAGAATAGCTCATGTCAATGCGCATATAGAAAAATCGATGCTGGCGTACCTAAAAATGTTTTGTACCACACGTAATACAAAAAACCTTATAAATATATCAACAATTACTGATATGCAACATTTTTTTTTTTAAAAAAAAATTCCAACCGATGGTCCCTCGTTCATGAAGGTTATTTGATTTGATATTAATTGTGATCGATGTATGTATATATATCGTGAACAACTGATACAAAGTGTTATGTAATTCCTTGTGTTAATCAAAGAAATGTTCTCTTCGGCTAGATTTCAAAAGATAAACAATAAATAATCAAAATAAAATGGTTTCAATCGATAAGTTGACCAGGGAAGAGCTCACCGCGATAATTTCCCAAGAATTACACATCGACGTTGCCTTCCCTTGTTTTTCCGTCGAGGAACAAACTGGGGCTACTGCTTGTTGCGTGGTTTGTGTTAATGAAGCCACCAGTGACATTAAGTTAGCCTTGAGGCTTTTCTTTTGCCTTTTTTTTTTAAAAGAAAAATTTTAACTCGTGTCCTTTGACACTGGTTCGTTTTGAAAGGTCCATAAGCATTGGCTTGCCACCCTAAGACAGTCAAAATTTCGCGAGACCACTAAAATTAAAAGATACTCTACCACTCGTTCTCCCTTAAGCACTGGCAACAATCCCGATCAAAGTAACGATTATCGCCAAGCACCAACGACCAACGTGTTGGTCAGTGTATTTCTGAAACGGAAATTATCCGATAACATAAGGTCGGTTCTCATTTCGATCTTGGGAATCGCATAATTGAAGGAAGCATTTTAATCCTTCGCTCCCGTAATCTGTTCTATAATCTGTTCTACAGTAAGCCACAGTTATACTCTCGAAAACCTCATGACAACGATATCTCGCAAAAAAAATCCAAAGATAAATTTGATTATTCGTTAAGATATTTCCTCAAGGAACAATATGAGGGAAAACCTATATTAGACTTGGCTGAAATAGAAGCACAATACGAAAGCTATTTCCCACTTATTCAGGACGAAGATCTTCAAAATGCCAAAGGGTCAACCGAGTTGGAACAACAATTGACCAGACAGAAGGTTTCGCCCTCTTTAATTCTCTGAATGTTCTCACAGTTCGGATCGCGGAAATTTTAAATCTTATTCAATTCGTTTCTAAAGGTATTCGTGGAGAAGTTTATAGAGATGCTTTATCCGGAGAGTGCGTACTTTCGAATATTACCACAGCTGGAAAATGACGTTTTATCGGTGGAACTACGTTCACAACCTGATTGGTCATCGGACATGCCGATAACGACGAGTCCCAATCTCATTGATGTGTTCGCAGTCCTGGAGTCGGATAGAGCTTACTATTTTATAGCTCCCTATCGAGGGACCACGTTGCAAGATTTGTTGAAATATAGTTCTGGCGTATTAAATTCCAACGTAAAAAAATCCTTCATATTATATCAACTATTGAGGACTGTGCAGAATCTGCATAAGAGAGGAGTAATTCACGGAGGGTAGATGTCTATGATGTCGATGCTTTAGTGATTATTCATATTTTCCAATTACATTCATCGACGAGTCGATTTTATCATTTAGGCTCAAACTTTCAAACATACTTGTTGATGAAAATTTATGGATTACACTCACAGGATTTGAGTGTTCCGTTCCTATCACTGTTGGGGGATCAGGTTTATAAAATTTTATTCTTTCTCGGTATATCATCCCTTTGAATTTACGAGGTTTTTGGGGGCTGAGCGGACCATTCGTCAAAAACCTCTTGTAGATCAGGTTTCACAGTCTGTTAACGATTTTGTGATGGAAAATATTCCCAGAGGTCGGTTAGTCTTAACTTCTCATGTGGTTTGACTCGAAATACCGGTTTTTAACGTTGACGTTAATCTTTCAGAAATCAAGGACGACTCACCTACAATGAAGTGGGTGCGTGGAGATATTTCAAATTTTGATTACATAATGAATTTAAATAATCTCGCTGGTAAATACGTGTTTTTTTATCGCCGCTCTTTGTTTATGGAATCTCACACGCTGGTTACCTATAGGTCGTCGAATCGGGGATCCCAACTTTCATCCGATTTTCCCGTGGATTACCGACTTCACCGGTTCGTCGGTATCTAAAAATTGGCGAGATTTTACAAAGACAAAGTTTCGCCTTAACAAAGGCAAGGCAAATACAGCTTACTTATTGTATCTTCTGAAAGTGCGATTGGACGTTGTTACACATACTGATAATGATTCATCTAATTTTACAGGGGACGAACAATTGGATTTCACGTTTGACGGACCAGTTCCTCATCATATAACCGACATACTGTCTGATATTACATACTATGTGTACCTTGCGCGAAAAACCCCCATCCCGGTATTTCCATTTTTCCCTTTATTAATATTATCCCTACCTTCACATGCTCTCTCCGTTCTAGATGCGTGTATGTATATTCATCGCCACATTTCCTTCTAGGTACTTTGCCAGTATGTAAGAACAAAATATGAACCGAATGAATATCCGTCATCCTTACAACGATTATTTGAATGGACACCCGACGAATGCATCCCTGAATTTTATACAGGTTTGTGGCATCGATTGTCGCTTCGGAAATTCCACCTCCCCTCATAACAGAACTTGATTATTAGATCCAAGCATTTTTACATCGATACACCCGGATATGCCGGATTTGCAACTGCCTTCGTAAGTTTGAGGAAGTAATGGCATCGGTTTCACTTTCAAATCCAATATTTACCATTAGTGACATTGGCGACAGGTGGGCATCAACGGCCGAGGAATTCATACGCTTACACGCGGAAGCACTGGAAAGCGATTATGTATCGAAGAATCTTCATTTATGGATAGACCTGACCTTTGGATGCAGGCTTAGTGGTAGAGGAAAATTTTTTATGTTAATGAGAGGAGAGGAAACGGGTAATATGGGTTATCATCTAACCGACATCTTCTCGCAGGTGATGACGCTGTTGAGGCCAAGAATGTTGCCTTGCCTCTTTTGGATGGACAAAACTCCTTTATGAAACACGGCATCACGCAATTGTTTTCCGATTCGCATCCTCATAAAATTATAAATTCAGCTCAGGAGAGGTATTTTGTCCTCATTATTTCTAATATTTTTTTATTCTCGATATCCTTTTTTTTTTTATTTTCTCGACTTTATCTAGCGACGAAATGATATTTGATAGCATGCTGGTGACAACGAACGACAACAGATCATTGCGTGAGAAATACGAATCTATATCAAGCAAGAAGCGAATACCCTCAAAAATTTTGGATACCAGCAAGATAACTTCCCAACACATAGTGGAGATCTCCAACGACTTGCTAGTTGGATTGGAAAAAACCACAGGAAAACACCAGTCCATAGCTGGTCACGCATCACCCAAACTGGCATCGGCATTGCATGAAATTGTCAACGCTGATGAAAAGGAAATATCTTCATCAACGTTAGATCCAAAGGACCCTAGTTTTCGCATTGAAGCTCTATCAAATCTAGTAAATTCCTTGCCAATACACCTTCCCGATGAAATGGAAGATGATTATTTCACAGATAGCTTAGATAACTTTGAGCAGGCTCATACATTCTCGGCGAAATATCCGCCGCAAAAATTTTTGAGCGCAGAGTGCGAATTATCTGGTGATAACGATGGGAACAAATATTGTCAACGTCGAAATTCCACAAAGGTCAAGTCCACGGAGAACACCTTTTCATATGGAAAGGCGTGGGACACCTACTGTCTCGGTAAGATAATCAAGGCCTTATATTCCAGTTCGACGGATAATAATACCGCGTTGTCCCTTCTTTCCTCTTGTCTGGAGGAAGGCGATCAGGTGGTTGATAATTGCAAGGTAAATTTTTCTTCATTAAATAAGTGGATGCTCGAAATATTGATTAAGCGCGTCTCATTCTTCATCACCAGAAGTTACCGCTCTCCGTTCAGAGCGTGGTTTCAGCTTTATTAAATCCGGATTGGACAAAACGTCCTTCTATCGATGCGCTGATTTACTCATCTGTTCCTGTGATGAGTTTGCACGATGCAGCCACAACACTTCCCCTACCAGAGTGTATTCCCGAGGTTTATGAATTCTTGACGGATTTTCATCAAGTGTGAGTGTTTCTTATTTGTCACATTTGTATCTTTCTTTGTATTACCATTTATACATTTTGCGCTATAATAGCGGTTGGACGGGTCGATTGAAACTTGCGGAACACTGGATGAGTAAATTATGCGACCTCATTGACGAAGTATGTTGATTTTTTTAGGGAACAAGACATAATTTTTTGATTATTATTTTCCTTTTTTTTTTTTTTTTTTTTTTCCAACTGCATCAAGATTTGTCATCTTATTTCAATTTCATTTCATTTACTATTTTATCGTAGGCCTTTTTTATGATCCTACCAAGCCTAGTGCTTCTTTTTACTCAAGACTCCATTAAAATAGAAGCGCTGAATATATTTTCAAAGCTTGGCCAAAGATTAGGTCAAGATGAGACGAAAAACCACTTATTGAAACCCATCGTTTCCTTGTTCGAAGTATGCATATGTCTCTTGCTCACCAAATCCTCTTCTCTTATTCCGGCTACCGCTAATACCGATTTTCTTTCTGCTTGTAGACATCACGTCCATCTATACCGCCGAGATTATTTGATCGCACAATAATTACTCATTTTGTGCACAGATTTGGTGTGGCAAATTTCTTGCAGCAACTGTTCCCTCTTTACTTGGAGGCACTCACGATCGAGGATAACGTTGTTCCAATGGCAATTGACGATGGTGTCTTCACCGACCAAAAACTGAAACTCATGACTGACCACGAGAGCGTGTCAAGCTCGACATCTGCCGCGAAAAATCCATTGTCTAGCCTGGATAATGCCTTGCCGTCTGTGGCACAGTTGGCAAATTCCGCTCTGGTCACAATATGGTACGCTTTCGCTTATCACTACATGAACAAAATATTCTATCGACTCTTCTAACAATATTTTCTATCAGCACACTGATTGGACCAATATTAACATCCAAGAATGTAATGAGGCAGTTATACAAGATGTTGCTTAAAGAGAGTACTACCTTACCTTTCTTGATGCAATCGATCCTCGCTATTGGTAAGCGATTGTTAAAATGATCGATCATTGTGCGCATTCTAGGAAATGACATATTTTATCGTCTTTATAATCATAACCAGGGAATCGTTTTGGCGAGACATTCACTCACTTGCAATTCGCCCAAGTGATTCCTGTAATACAACAGTACAGCACATACACCATGGACAAAAAGAATTATTTAATACTGTGTAATCATCTGTCCTTGCTGGAAAAGGTGTGTTTTCCTGATTTATGGTAATGATGTCATTGGTTTCCCAAATTTAATATCATCTCACAATTCTTGTTCGTGCGTGATCCTCATATCAATAGCTCACCACTCTAATGCCAAATAGCAAAGTTCTCTCAGAGATCGATTCGTTATTCTCTGAAACTTTGATAAAGCTTCTTGTGCAATTCAATAATGAGGATAATTTAACATTAGAAAAGAATGGTTCACCTACAGGCTCAGCAATACAAATAATAAAAAATAGGTTTTCTGTAAGTGTTAAGTCCGTAGAGTTCTTATTGCACGTCTGTAATAATGCGACCAAATCTGATTGGGAAAAGCATGTAAGTTGTTATTTATCTGTTCGCTCGCAACTAAACGTTTACTCATAGGAGGATACCTATGTAGATAGCGCCAATATTGCAAAAGTACTTTGAATCATTTGGAAAATCTTTGGAAAATTTGGGTATTGAAGAAAGTGAGCGTCGGAAATTGGAGCAAGATAGAAATCAACAGGTTGTATTCGCTAAATTCTACTTCGAAAAGTTCCCTCATCTTGGACGCTAACACTGTAGATTGATCATGTATGTACGCGATTACACGACAGATTATGTACGCATACTCTCAATTCTGCATTCTTTTTGATCAAGAAAGTGTACGACAAGTTATTCCCGGAGGGTATGTTAGATTCTATGCGGTGCGTTGTTACTTTTTGCCCAGATCCTTTACTCAAGAACGCATACAATTCCAGTGGGGCCATAGAACTGGCGATGAGCGGTTCGGTAATTCCAAATGAGCTGTTGATATCATATCCACCTTCGTCAAATTCTCCGGACAATCACGCATCCAGCGATCGTATTAGCGTAAGATCAGTGTCATCATCGCACAATGGCGAAATCAAGGAAAAGAGTTCTAGCGCTCCTGGCACGCCAAAATTTTCCGTAAACTTTGAAGACAAGAAACATTTGACACTCAGCTCTAAGGATGTCACCTCTATCGTATCCACCACCACTTCTTCGAGTCTTAGCGTGAACAGGGCGTTCTCCTCGTTTTCGAGCGAGGGCGCAAGTAAGAAATTGGCGGGCATCAATCATCAGACTGCGACGGGCGGGCACTCAAAGAGCTTGACTATGCCTTCGAAGATTTCTCCCCCGAATTCGGGAATCAAAAAGTACGTGAATCCTTTTAAAGAAGGTTTTCGTTTTAAAATGACATCGTCTTATGATTTATTATAATCTAGATCAAAATTGGGCATACTGTCTTGGAGAACAAAGAGTCAATTCAAAGAAGGGGAGGATTTAAAGTAAATATTTGTCCAATTTTTGACATTTTTTTTTTTTTGCCTGCATAAGAGATAAATGTTTATGATTTTCGGTTTTTAAATTCTAGAAATTGGAATCGATTTTTGACCACAAATTCAGGTATCAGAATTTACGCTTTCTGCATTTATGCATGTAGTCAAAAATTCTTTATAACATTAGATGATCTTACATTAGAGGAAATGGTGAATGCACTGCAGTTTACCTTTAACGATTTGAAATTACGAACTTTTTCGGGTAACTGTTATTGATGTTACGTCTTGTTGGCTATGTATTGTTCCTAATATGCGGTCACTCGAATACTTTTTATAAAAACCTGATAGGGCATCAATCCGCAATTCGTTCATTGGACGTAAATGAACACAACCGGTTCATAGTTTCTGGATCGAAGGATCGAATGGTCAAATTATGGTCATTGGACGTTCATTATGGCATAGAGAATTCGAATAGTGAACCATCTTCGGAACCTCTGATATCCTACAATGGGCATAAAAGATCAATGATCAATGATGTACACTTCATTAGCGGTGGCGTTAGTTGGGGTCCTGGAGACACGATTGCAAGTAATGATGGGCAAATCCACGTGAGCACATTACATTACGCACTTCGTGATCATCATTGCTAGGATCATTATTGTTAATTGCACATTTGTCATTTATCATTTGCCTTTTAGCTTTGGGATCCTGAAACTGGAAGAACGTTGTATCAATTTATAGACACGAAGTTATGTCTTTCGATGAAACCGATATTCAGGTCTCGATGCCTTGTCGGTGGTCTTTCGGATTCATCTATTGCGTAAGATTTTGTTCTATTTTTCTTATAAATTTACCTCCGGTGCATTTATACGAAATAGGAATGTCTGAAATTTTTTTTAACAGGTTCTATGACATCATATCACTTCAATTATCATATTCATGGAAATCATGTCCCGCTCATGCAGGTTCGTATTCATTGTGACCATCCAGTTCACTATCAAAAGACCAATATTTTACTACTCATCTTTATTATGCACGATATTGTAGGCGTGATACGGATCGTTTGTGTGAATCCGGCAGAAACACTGATAGCTGTTGGATCTACCAGCGGTGTGATATCATTGTTAGAATCAAGAACCGGAAGCTTGCTTGGAAGTTGGAAGGCCGGTGATGCGGATATTGTTCAAGTATGTCTCCATTGTGACATGCCAATCTGTTAATTGTATTCATTTATTTTATTTACTTAAAAAAAAAAATTATAGATGAAATTCCATGGAAATAATTGCCTTGTGTCATATGCCCAGGGCTCCCATGTAATTTGCATATGGGATACCGACAATATGTCACTGGCCAACACAATTCGAGGTGAATTATTTTTTTGATTGAGCGTCACGATGATGGACCGTTTCTAAAAAATTTAAATTCATACTGCTAGTTGCATCGGAAGTTGTTACTCTGAACATGTACAAAGAAGAAGTTATCAGTGTAAATAATAGCAACGCCATTACTTTCTCACCGTTGAATGAAAACGTATGTGTTTATCAAGTCCATTTGAAAATATTTTGGCTTTGATACTACTATCGAAAGCTTATCTTCTGTCTTTTACCTTCAGTTCCAACAGAATACACTAAAGTTTAAAAGCTCGACGGTCAAATCATCAGTTACATGTTTAGGAATTTTACCCATAAACAAACTTATACTACTAGGATGCACGGAAGGAGACATGTTCCTATACGCCTGAAAAACCAACCCACAATATGAACTATTTATTTAATTTAACATCAGTTATCTCTTCCTTTTTTTTTTCATTTCTAGTTTTGTCTTTACGGCCCTTGTGCCGACACTATTTAATAAATGACCGATACAAACTGCGTTCATATCTCAAGCCTAATTTAATGTATGTTTTCTCCTAACCGACCCAACTCCGAGAGGCTTGGTCTGTCAAAGCTGCAACGAGATTTTTCCTAATTTACATTATTACAAATTACTATGATAAAAAAATCCACGCTCTTCATTTTTAGGGAAGGTGTGATGTGGTCAACAGTTACATTCGGTTTTTTCTTTGAATAATGTGGGTGTTCATTATGAATTTGCCGATGTTAAGTTTAGTCATTCGAATTCCTGTTATAAGCACCTCGATCTGTATGAGTCAAATGAGATGAAAAATGTAACTATGGGGTGGGGAAAACTCGACGCTTACAGGTATCGTTTTTAATTTATCGATACAAATTGCACTGTTAAAAAAATCTTTCTATAAAATTGACTCAACTAAGTTATTAATTAATAAAAAATTTTTATGCTGCTTCATGTCTTGTCCAAAAGATTAATAAACGAAACCGATATTTAAAACGATTCCCTTTTTTTAAAAAAAAAAAACTTCCGATTCACGATTTACTATTTTTATTGAAATCTAGAACACCAAGTACAGTATATACTGACTTTCTATTAATATTATTTGTCAATGATACTTTTCTATTTGATATCATTAATTAATTAATACTTGAACATTTGAATTACTGTATATTCATTAAGTATACGATAAGTTAACGCGTAAATTTACTTTGAGTCATTTTATCCGTACAGCAAGTTTTTTTCAAACTAAATTAACTTGATACTCGGTTAAAAATGACTACGGCATTACTTGTAGAAACCATTTTTCTGGATTGAAAACTTTTTATTTAATTTTTTTTGTTTATAACAACATTACATTAAGTAAAAAAAAAACTAAGCTGTGATACTTTGTTTTCACTAATTGGAAAAATATTTATTTGACTTAATGTCAATTGTGTAATAGTTATCAAAAAAGTAAATAATTCAATAAGTTAATAGCATAAATAAATCTTCAATCTATTTCTACTATATAATTTGATATTTATACTATTTAATTTTTTCATGTTGCCCATAACTGAACTAGATAATTGATTTATTAATCAATTAAATACAAAAATATATATTCACTCAAGCTGTATGATACTATATATATTATAGTTGAATATAATATTAAATTTAAATTAATATATCATAAGTATAAAGTTTCGAAGTTTGATTTTGAAAATAATATTTTGCTTTATAATAAACTTTGAAAAAATATTCTTCTAATTTATATATTATTATTAGCAAGTTATAATTGTTAACATTTTATCAAATCACAAAGATTGAAGTAAAACAAAAAAACAAAAATATATCAAAAATACTTAAATGTAATAAAAAAAAATAAATCAAAATATAAAATTATTTTTTTCAAAAACTTATTTTTTCTTAATAAAAAATATCTTATTAAAATGTTCTTTTTTCCTTTAACTATTTTAAAAACTTATCCATCTTGATTTAATCTCCTAATTATACTATCTATTAAATTTTTACTTAGAAAATTTTTAGCTTAAATACATAATACCTTTTTCATTATCTAAAAACTTGTTATTTAAATTTTATTAATCTTATAAACTTAAAATATAAATTAATTCAATTAAAAAGTAAAATAGGGTTAGAGTATTAATAACTTTTTTTATCAATAATATTATTAAAATATATATTGTAATTAATAAAAACTTGTTTATATTTTGTTATTAATATATTCTATATTAATTAATTATTTTTAATAAAATTTATATATATTTATATTACTTCAAAATTTAGAGTCAAATTGAAATAGGCAAAATTTTTTAAAAAGTTTAAAAAAATAAACAATTGTAAATAAATAAAAATAATATATAAAAAAGTTTTTAAGAGTTGGACTTTTATTTATTTATTTTCTTATTGTATAAAATATTTATAAATATTTTTTATTTCAGAAAATAGACTTTTATACTAAACTATTTTATCATAAATAAAAAATTGATTTTTATTTTTTATTTTTTTTTAATTATTAAAAATTAGATTTTTAAATAAAAAAAAATATAAATGAAAATGAAAGAGTAAAAGAGGTTTCTAAAGTTATTTTTCAAATTATTTTAAAAAAATAATATTATTTTATTTATATAGAAATATAAATTTTTTTGCAAATATTTTTTGCATATATTTTATAGTTAAAAAATTATATTTTTATTATATAATATATTATAAAAAATAATCAATATATGTTATAAAGATAATTTGTAGACAATAATATTGACAATTAGAAAAATTTGATTATCTAATTAGTGTTAACCTTAATAAATAGTTACAGTAGGAAACAAAAAAACTTATTTTTTTTCCAAATATATTTAACTTAATAAAGATTTATCTAAATTAAATCAAACTTAAAATATAAGTACTTAAATATCTAAAAATTAATTTTACTTAAAACTATTTTATAACTTTTATTATTATTATTATTTTATATTTTATTTCAATTAAAAAATTTTATATTATACACAAATTTTACAAACTAATATATATAAGTTTAACTTTTTGAATATACAGTAGTTTTATATATAATTTGTTATAAAATAATATATAACTTATAATATTTATACAACTTAATATGTAAAATTTAAAAAAAAAATTGAAAATAATATTATTGATTAAATATAAATTATTTTAATTAAAAATTATTTTATAAAGTTAAAATATTTATATTAATATTTTTTTATATTTTTTAATAAATAAATTTTATATTATGATAAAAATTTTAGGCAATTTTTGTCTCCTATTATATATATATATTTTAATTATTATCTATAGTTCTTGTCTATCATATTATTCTAATTCTATTTTTAGATTATATGATATATGTAATACAATATATATTTTATTAATTCATAAAATAGATTCTATTATTAAAATAAAATAATAATTTTTTTTTTTTTTTTAACCCGCAATCATGCCATGATGGCTTGTCTTTATTGGAAAATTGAAATAACTTT